TAGCAGAGGATATATGACACTGATAGGTAGAGACACTGAAGGTAGAGAGCTGGACTGCTAACCCGTAAGCCTCAAGTTCAAATCCGGGTTCAAGTCAGTAGACCGTCCCTTAGTCCACCCAACTCTGATGGGTACCTAACTCACGTTAGGGAAAGTAAAGGCGGCTGGGCATAGTGCTGACCACACTATCTCTTCATAAGCCGAGGTCACAGAAACAAGTGAACTCTACTTCACTTGCCCCAAAGACCTTCAGGTTTGAAAGGGAAACTTTACTTACTTTTATATGACACTGATGCTAAAAAGTTAATATTCAGCATAGAGTTGTGCTCAAGTAAAAACAAGACAGGCTGTTTATTGTATGTCCCTGAGAATTTAATTTGTTTTTTTCTGAAGATAAGAGCTGCTGTGAAAGCCTTGTGGAAAAAACATTTTCCAGGAAAGCTGGGGATATCAAATAAGAAAACTCAAGAGCTACAGGCTAGTATCTCCTTTTATTTTTAGTCTTCTTCTTTCTTCTTCTTCGTTCTTAATTATTAGTGTTGAAGGGGATCGAGATTTATCTGCCAGTGGGTTTGAACTCAAGACTTTGTTCAAATTTATCAACCATGAGCTTTTTGCCGACTCGACCACGCCTCCAACACAATTAAGCAATACGTGTCAACTGGTTATGCGCCATTGAGGCCATTGACTCCGATTTCAGCCTGCTTTTCTTTTTGGATTTGCTTCCATAGCCTTTGTCCAACCAAGAACAAACTACAAGGCAGCAGTTGTTTAATTTTGGAGTTGTCTCTCCTAGAAGAGTGGCTGTCCCCAGCTAACGAGCCTCATCTGCCCGAGGGTTCGAACTCGTGACTTTTCGGTTTAGCAACCATGAGCTTTACCGACTCGACCACGCCGAACCCCTTTATTTTTAGTAAATAGTACAATGTTGTTTCTGTTGAAAAGATTTAATTTTCATAAAGTTGTAATGTCTCTGTAGGCTAATGCAGTACATGTGATGAAACAGAATATGGGGTAAAGGGAGGGGTGGCTGTCAATATTTTGTAGAATTTTAACTGGGAGACACATATGAAATGATGTTTTAAAAACTGCTGTCTTCCTTGTATGTCATTAAAATATTAAAGATTAATAACCATATAATTTATTTAATAGTGCTTACATTTTATTTTATACAGCCTGGTGATGTTGCATTAGTTCGATTTACTTCTCAGGCGAGCTTTGGTGAGTAATAGGCTTGAGCTACATGTGGGTTACATCTTTTTATAGTCTGGCTACATGTAGTAGGATTGTAAATTTTATGGTTTATAATATACTTAATATACTTTTTATAGGTTGGGTCTTTTTGCAAGTTTACATTTAATAGACTTTCAGATACCAGTAGACTACATTTTATAGACTTCTAGATACTTATCGACTTACATTTGATTAAACTTCTATTCAAGAATAATATTATAAGAGTCTTTCAGATACTTATAGGCTAACATTTTATAGACTTCCAGATTCTTATTCTTAAGAACATTTTAAATATTGAAAGTGGCCAACATTGTTCGAATAGGTTAAATTAAAATTTTTTAATTGAGCAACAAATTTCTATCTGATGACATATCTGCAGCGGATTATTTTTATAACTGATATAATCTTTATATTAGATGCTTGCATAATCTTTTAATTAAGTTTTTCTAAAAATATTTTCTAATAAATTAATTTTTGTGTTGATTATCTCCTAGAAAATAATAGACATTTCTTGTAGCTTTTGAGTTCCATACAAATAGAACTGATCTTAACTTGTTTAATGGTTTAATAGTAATTCTGGTAATGCAGCAAAACAAAGTGGTTTCTTTTTAAATTTTTGTCTATTATAATTTTTTTCTGTTAATTAATTAATGACTTATTATTCCCATGTATTCATTGATCTATGTAAAGTGAGTTATAGAACTTTATGAAATAAACATTGTGATAAAGTTGATTTCTTTTTATTACAGTGTCCCCTGAGACCAAAGTACATTTGTCGGTTGAGCTAGCCACTGACCACCACCCGAATGTTGATCAACATAACAGATTAGAGAATGAAAACCACCCATAGATCAGTCTGTCCACTGCCCGAATGTTGATCAACATGACAGATTAGAAAATGAAAACCACCCATAGATCTGAGGCTGTCCACCGCCCTAAATAATGATCAACATGACATATAATAACCTTATGTGTCCTTATATATTTTAGGGATAACTTTATTTAGTTATGTGATTTTTGGCAACTAGAGTCTTTTACCTTTACCAGCAGTGTTAGTTAAGTGAAATGATTATTCAACAAGTCTGTTCAGTGATTTTACTGGAAAAAAATGTTATAGCACTAAGTAATAGATGCATTTTTGAATTTATGTTAGGGTTTTACAATGTTATGTACATAAAAAAATTTTATGTAAATTTTTTAATGGTGTACATATATTTATTTTGTAAGAGGGTTTTACAATGGTGTGTACATATATTTATTTTGTAAGAGGATTTTACAATGGTGTGAACATATATTTATTTTGTAAGAGGATTTTACAATGGTGTGTACATATATTTATTTTATGAGGGTTTTATGATGGTGTGTAAATATATTTATTTTGTGAGGGTTTTATGATGGTGTGTAAATATATTTATTTTGTGATGGTTTTAAGATGGTGTGTAAATATATTTATTTTGTGAGGGTTTTATGATGGTGTGTAAATATATTTATTTTGTGAGGGTTTTATGATGGTGTGTAAATATATTTATTTTGTGAGGGTTTTACAAAGGTTTGTATCAACATTTATTTTTTTTAGGGTTCTACAATGGTGTGTATCAATATTTATTTTGTGAGGGTTTTATCATGGTGTGTATCTATTTTTATCTTGGGTGAGGGTTTTACAATGATGTGTATTTACATATATTTTGTATTCATCTAACATACAACCAACATATCTAGCATAGCCTGCAACCACCCAGCATAACCAGCCAACAACCAACATAGCCAGTGAACAACCAACATATCTATTTCTAACATACAGCCAACAAATCTAATATACACAACCAACAAAATCATATCTAACAGCCAGCTAACAATCAACATATCTAACATAGCCATTGAAAAACCAACAATTCTAACAGCCAGCCAACAACCAACATATCTAACATAGCCAGTGAACAACCAACATATCTAACATAGCTAGTGAACAACCAACATATCTAACATAGCCAGCGAACAACCAACATATCTAACATAGCCAGCGAACAACCAACATATCTAACATAGCCAGCAAAAAAATTAAACAACTTTCCATCAACCAACATTCCAAACTATTAGCCCCAGCCAACGCTTTTTAAAGCTGACTATTTTGAATATATATAGTTAAAAAACAAATATTATATATATATATATATATATTACAGTATAAAATGTTATCTCCATAAACTAATGTATTTGAATCCAGCTCTTATACATTTTTAAATTTTAAATTCAGTGTGGTACAGTGCAAGTTCCAACAGCCTTTCTTATCTATAGCTCAATTTTACTAACAATGGCTCCACACTAAAGGAATGTTACTATTTTTGTACTAGCTGTAGGCCCTTCCACAATCATAGTTATTAGTAAATAAATTTTATTATGTAAGAAACAACCATGACCCATCTAACCAAATTAAATTTACATATTTTTCACTTTGAATGTATTGAATATACAAATACAAAAGGAATAACCAGATCGGTAATGTCTCCATGTCTTTCTCTTCAATCAAGTGTTATGTGTTGAATTCTTCCATGTCTTCATGTGTTTGCTGAGTTCACTTTGATGACTATGTCTCTCTGTTGATGTTTAGAACCAATTAATATAAATATGTTGATCTTTTTCTCCTGCATTTGTTGATGTTGTGCGGGAAAGTGAAAGGAGGAATAAGTCATCTGTAAAGTCCAGATCATATAGTCAGCTCCAGGTTTGACTGAACCCCTATTTCATTCCCTATAGACCTCTTCATGATTTATTCAATGACCGGTACAAACAGAAATCATAAAGAAGCAACTCTGTCAGACTCCAGTCTGTGTTAAGAATTTCTTTTGGGTTCTGTATAATGCTTGAATATGTTACCTTGCTTTTGTAGAAACCTATAGTTGTTAAACAGCTTCCACAGGCTTGCCATATACATCTACATTATCAAAGGCACTTTAGTAGTCTATGAATTTGAAGCTATTTCCAATCTTGCGACTGATAAAAAATGTTCAAGTTGCATTTGGCCAATACAGGATTTATCTTTTCTAAGGCTTGCTTGGTGGTCTAGGAGTTGAAGGACATGTCCTGTTCCATTCTTGTCAATAAAATTCTATTAAAGTTAAAGTAGTTTTTTGTTACTCAGTAACTAATTGAGCAAGATCAAAGACAATTGTGAAGTTTCATTTGAATCCCCTTTCCACAATTCATCATTCAATGTTTTATCAATGGAGAGAATTTTAAGTGTTTTTATGGCCTTTTCTAACCTACGTAACATAGTTTTACAAGTGGCTGTGATTATCCTTGCTCTATTAATATCCCTTTCTTTTAACGCATTTATCTGGTTTTGAGAACATGATGTTACAGCCTGCGTATGATGAGGTGCCTTCTTAAAAGTGTGTAATTTACTTAAAATATCACAATTAACTTGAGTTGTTGACAGTTTAGAGCTTTCTAACAGGGGATTGTTTGATTTGTTAGTTTTTTTATTTAACATTTTTTATGCAAAAATGTCACTCTCCTGAAATTGCTTCCCCTGTTTACGCCTGTTGCTAATGTATGTATATGTGGGCCTATTTCCAACTCAACTTAAAAAAAAACTGTATTTGTTATACATAGCTCAATTTTGGCACAGAGTTTTAAAAAATTCATACTAAGTGTTGTACTTAATGATAATGTGTTTGTTATTGGTAGGTAGTATAAATAAGATTTAGGTAATGATTATGACAATTACACACATGGTCATGGAAAAAGAAAAGTAACAGTAAAGCAGAGAGTTGATGATTTATTAAGGCAAATTACTTCTTCAGACATTCTGAAAAATACATTTATAAGAAACACACTAGCCTTAGAAAATCTGAAATGGTCAGAGTTACAAAAGTATAACTATGGATGGATGGATGGAAGAATTCAAAACATCTCATAAAAATAAATTATTTATGTTTTATTTGTGGTTATTTTTTTTTAATATGGTGCTAGTGTGAGCTCAGCATGCAATTATTCCTAGCATACATTGTCGATGCAGAGGTGCATATATGAATATAATACAAATCACCCTGTCAAGCCAAAAACAAAATATGAAATTAGTATAAGGCAATTTGTTTTACTCCAATACAAGATTCTATTGTACAGCAAACATGTAGACAGGATAAAGGTCTTTGGGGAAATCTTTTTGCTTCTGCTCAGCTAGGATGGTCAAGCCAGCCTTGCGAATACATTCTCTCATGTCTTCTTTAGTCCTTGTGTAGCTACTGTCACAGTCATCAAGAGTTTTTCTACCACATTCTAGAATATTCTCTTTTAATATAAACACACCGCCCTCCCTTAATCCCTTTTGACATTTCTTGAAGAAAGTAATCAAGTCATCATCTTCTAAGTGTCCCAGCACCCACTGTGACCATATGAGGTCGTATGTTTTCTCAGCAGGGGTGAAAGACTGGAGACCTGTACAAAAAATGTTGCTCACTCTGGACGAATCAGGGCCGATGAATTCTCTGGCATTGTCACAGAAGTGTTGGTCCTGTTCGACCATGTCAACACTTTCAAAAATGGGTAAAAGTAGACGTTTAGTCACTCTTCCTATGCCTGCCCCACAATCCAATGCATGATTTGGTGAGACAGAACCACCAGATATCTGGGAAAGAAAGATATTTATATTTTTCATTTTAACACTATACATATTTTAAAATTAGAAGTTATCTAAAAATAAGTGAGGTATAGTAGTGCTGTCTCAGTAATAACAAAAGAGATAATATGTTTTATTTTTTTATCAGGAGAACAGTACCCACTTCTGAAAAGTATAAAACTAATAATGATAATCGTAGGGTTAAGTTGAGGAGAGTTAGTCTAAGTGCAACTAGGGCTAAAGTATGGTTATTGAGGCATTTAGAATCATTACAATTTTATAATATTGCGTAATGTATAAGGTGGTGATCTAGCATCAGAATAAAATTGAAAATGGAAGCTCACTAAAAATGTATGTGTGCACATTTTATTTATTTTAATTTACTACATTGGTTTTTTTTGACAATATGTGCTAATTGGGGGGGGGGGGGGGGGAATAATCCAAAAAAGCTTGATGTCAATCTGAATAATTTGGGGGGGGGGGGGGGGGTTTCAGGTATGTGTTATAATATATATCAGTTTCTGATAATGCCACAAATATTGAACCTACTTTAAAAAGGGATATGGCCTATTAGATTACTGGTAGTTAACTAGATACAAATATGACTTTCCTAATGCCAAAGCTAACCCTTTCCCAAGCCAAAAGCTAACCCTTTCCCAAGCCAAACCCTAACCTAAGTCCTACCACAGCCCTAACTCTCATTTCTGACAATTTGGAAATCTATTGTCAGACATCTTAAATACCAAGACTCTGAATTTGGATATAAAATATAGTCTAGTTTATTTTTCCATCCACTGATTAGGTCTGCTTATTCCATGGGGTAGGTTACACACTTGTCAGATAATGCCAAAAAGTAGAATCTTCTCAAAAAATGGCTGTTAGGCTACTCAACTGGCAGTTAATGTGAAATACAAATATGACTTATTATTAGGTAGTCCAAACTGAAATTAACTATTGATTGCAGACTTCTGGAGTGAGTATGTCATGAAAGAACTTTTAATTGTAAGCTCTATGCCACAAATTTTATAAAAATATCTTAATAAATAAAAAAGTTCTGCGATTTTTAAAAAAGCAAAATTTGGTAAAAAACTGATTTTTAAAAAGTGCCATTTTTGAGAACCCATATTTTCTAAACTAAATAACATAGAAAGACTTGAATTTACAACACAAAGTAGTTATAAAAGTGAACTTTACATCGGTGTAAAGATTGAAACAGAATTAGTTTGTTTTCGTGTATATATCGTCATTTAAAGTTTAAAAACTGATTTTTTTAAATGAAATAAGCAAGTTATTTTTTCAATTTATACATCAAACGATAGACTAGAATTCGCTCTTTAAAATGACATTAAGATTATGCTTCTACGATGCTTTGTCGCGAAGCCGCAACTAAATGAAACAGTGTGGGGTCGATCGGTACACGCAAAACGGTGAAATTTGTTGACGTAACTGATACTTTTCAAACAAATATAAAACACATTCAAACATGTGTTACAGATATAAAAATACCAGATTACGACAGATAAAGGCTTAAACTTTATTGACATATAATTTTTATTCTTATAGGACAAATAGAAGTAGTGAAATTTTATTTTTGAAAACCGCAAAAACTGACCCTAAAACGCACTTTTTCGCCAGTTTGGACTACCTATTGTTATGGTCTCAGAGAGCAAATTATTGAACATCTGTAATATCAATATTCCACCTAATGAGCGTAATTACTTGTTAGTACTAGATATAGACATAATTTCTAATCAATTTTAACTAGTTTTGTAGTATTGAAGAAATAATGTAATATTGATTTAATTTTAATAAAATAAATAGTCCTAGAATAGATTTAGTTACTTATTTAATAGTTACAAGTTTCATTTCCGCCCCACTTGGTACCATGGTAAAACAGAAGATGCAAAATGGTGAGGTGGTAAAATGCAAGAGGAAAATGCGAGACATACTTGCTGAATAAACTAAATTGCAGAAAAATAGCGTGACACTTTTGGACCTAGGTTTTTTTAGTAGTGTGAGAATAAAAGTTCAGATCTAGATCACAAGTCTATCCTTATCTTTATGCATTACCCATATCATAAATAACCCTATGGCCTATGGCGACCTATGGCTAAGCCTAACCCAAATGTCACTTCAGTATACTATAGACTATACTTATAGGCCGATACTCCAGTACAGGGCGGCTTGGAAAAAGGTGGTGTTCAAAGTCAACACAATAGAAGAAAGAAGTTATTCAATCAAAATCTGAACTTATTATTTATTAGTCTTATATATTATGGTCCTAACTATAAACTAAACTATTTATTTAAACAATAGGAGGTCTGGGCATTTATATTATTATTTATTATTTTAGAAAGCCAGGCACATTAAAATTCGGTAATGGTGTAATTTTCACAAACACCTTCGCATTTTACCCACAGTCACAGGTGGGTAATGGGCGAAACAAAATGTGGTAAAACTCCATTTTAGCGTATTTTATTCCCCGCTTCACGTTCACCTCCAGTTGAGCGTATTTTATTATAAACACAACAGAAACACACAAAAACGTTAGGAAAACACTAGATCTACTTATTTTTTTATGAATGTGATTTTTAATTAGAAACGGTAAACTGTTCCAATTAAATATCGTGTGATCGTCAGTGGGAGAAAAATCCTTATACGGTCGCGGGTTCACTGTGAGTTGACACAGATTTTAATTATCAGCTTACGTCATAGCTCGGGCAATAACTGTTTGAAATTGTGTTGGCCTCAGTTTTGGGGTCATTGTTTGTAAGTTCATAAATGTTTATTTATAGTATCATGCCTGGGAGATACTTGTAACAATACAAACTTCACCGCCTTGCAATTGTCACATTGTGAGTTACATTTACGTACTTCACCCATTGCCATGAAAATTCTTACACATGAACATAGCACATTCCATTCAATATTCTAAATTTGGATTTTTCTCAAGTTTTGACAAAAGTAAATTATCAAAATCTAAAACAAAGTCAGTCTCTTTGTGTTTTTTTTTTTAATTTATTTTTATTCTTTTGTTAAAACAAAAAAACAATACAAATAGGCCTAGGCCTAAATAAATAAATCGTGTTTCCTAATGTTTTGGTGTGTTTCAGAGTTTCAGATTATAATAAATTAATAATATACGCCATACGCTCAACTGGAGGTAAACAAGAAGCAGAGAATAAAATACGCTAAAATGGAGTTTTACCACAAAATGTGACTTGACTTTCGGTTCCTGAACCTATCTTACAATGTACGGCCTAGCCGATGGCGTTTGCCTTAAGTCCACCCCCCCCCCCTCTTCACTCTCTTGTTTCCCAGATTGTCACCTTGAGGAAAGGGCGTAAAAATGCTTTAGAACCATTAATATCAGTTGGGGATATTTTCGCAAATCCGCCTAACATTCCGTCAACAGTAGGCGTTACATTAGCCCAGTATTTTTTTGCATTTAAGTAAAATGGATCCGATGTTGTGTTGTCTTCATTTTTAGATTCCGTATTTTCCGCCATTTTGAAAACAATCTAGTATTTGTTGGGGTACTTGGAAAGGCTTTAATATTCGAGTGAACGATATCTCAATACAAATTTATTTTGGCTCACTCATTCTATTCTATTAATAAGGAATATTTTCCACAAAATAATTAAAGATTTAAGAAAAACAATAAGTATTTTATAGCAATTAGTCTGTATTTATTATTGTTTCTAGCAAAATTATGAAAATATTTATTTTGCTTTACTCGATACTTTGAATTCCACAACGCGATTACCATAGTTCCGGAAATATACTCTCTAAAACATTAGCAAATGTACTGATTAAATTAGCTTATGCCTTAGAATATTTTATATTGCATTATTTACGAATTAGTCAATAGTATTTTAATTATCTAAAAGTAATTTTCTAAAAATTTACAATATAGTCCTAAACTTTCAATTTTTTAAAAATAATTAGATTTATCAACCGGTTTGAGAGTTTAAAATATTTTAGAAAACAAAATGTCTGACAAAACTAACTGCACTAAGATAGTGATATTACAAAAGCGATAAAACGTTCTTAAATTTTATATTCACCCTTTATAACCATGCAAGCAGAGGATGCCAGATATCTTAAAAGGTACAAAACGGTTGTTTTTTTAATAAACTATTGTTTACTACTATTTGTCTTCACCAGGTAACCAGGGACGCCCTACCTTTTTTTTTTTTTTCACCATCATTCAGCATCATGCTGCATCGTCTACCAAACAACAGTACCATCCATACTCGTATTGCCACTATGACATACTAGTTAACTAATTAAAACCTAGATCAAATACTACTAGAAATCTAGATCTATAATCTATACTGTAAATATTGTTTCTAGAAAGGTGAAAGGTGGCAGTATCGATGTGCACCCAACAGAAAAAGCCCTGGTTGTCAACTATGAATTGGAAGCAACTATTCTGGGTGAAATGGGTGACCCTATGTTGGGGGAAAGAAAGGAGTGCCAGAAGATGTACGTCGATTTTTTTTCACAATACTTATTGTAGTGCTATTTTTTCCCTTAAGTCCTAAGTGTACATTAAAAAAAAAAATTAAGGCATACTTAAATAAGATTCTAAGTGGTTAAAATAAAAATGAAACTTACACAGCAATAATATAGGCCTGTTAGTAGACTGTTATTTTTTTTACTAAATATCTTTTAAGTTTGTTTCATTCTATCAACTCTTTTATGTTGTTGTATTTTTTTAGGGAGAATTAAAATTTTAATGAAAAGCGAGTGTTCAATAAACAAAAAAATGTAAGCTTTAATTGACATTGCAGTATGTATAGCAGTTTTCAGTGTTTTTGTCCGGCCTTTTTTCTCTATCATTTTTTTTTTCTATATTTGCTTTTCAGCATTCGAGTGAAAGGTTTACATGAAAACAGTGATTTAAGTACTCTAGCTAAGGAAATCATCGAAAAATGTAAACTTATTCATCCAAGCAAGCTGCCTGAAGTAGAACAGCTGCTTTATTATTTACAAAACAGAAAGGAAACAGCTCCTGTTAAAGGTGATTTTTTTTTGGGGGGGGGGGGGGGGGGGGGTTAAATAGATTTCCTGACTAATTTTCTTTAACAATTTTTCTCCTTGCAAACATTATTTGTTAAAATTATGTTAACAGTAATGTTTTTGTTTTGCATGGTTGTGATTTAATTAAAAAAAAAATTTTTCCAGCCTCTGGCAAAACAAAGCTTTCAGATAAACCAGGGGATCCATCTGTGTGTGATGGGACAGAGACTGATGAAGTGGCAAACATCAATGATGTTGATGATTACCTTGAAATGCTGTATGAAGAGCTGCCTGAGAAGGTCAAAGGTTGTGCCCTTATCCTGCAGCTGGCCCGCAATCCTGACAACTTGGAGGAACTGTTTCAAAATGGTGAGGTTAACTTGCTTTTTTGTGTACTTTTCTACTTTAATAGCTGGAAATAATTCTTTACAATTATGTGGCTCATTGCAATTAGCATTTTTTTACAGTTATTTTAGGTGATAAATAAGACTATGATTTGTATTAATTATATTCATCAATGCATTGTTGTTTATAATAACACTACAAAAACAATGTACTGTATTATCCATGTATTCTCTTTTCTTTTCTAGAAACTGTTGTGAGTGCTCTGGTTCGACTGCTACGAGAAGAGTGGAAGCGCAGCACAGACCTGGCCACCAATATCATCTACATCTTCTTCTGTTTTTCATCCTTCTCCTCCTTTCATGCCGTCATCCTCCACTTTAAGATGGGGACGTTGTGCATGACCATCATTCAGCACGAACTCAAGAAACATGAGCTTTGGCAGGAGGAGCTCAACAAGAAGAAAAAATCGGGTCAGTCCTGAACGTTTTTTTTTTCTTAACTAGTTTGTACATTTTGTTCAAAATTTCATCTACTAGAGTAAAAAAATTGTTAGCTTAGTATATTTCTTTTTTAAGTTGTTGTGTACATTTAAGTTTAGTTTTTCATTAGCTACAGTTATTGTACTTATTGTTCTAAAAATAATTTACATTTTCTTAGTTGATTAGTTGGTTAATAATTCTTTTTAAAAGTTTCTTAGAATTAAAGAATAGAATATAATTGAACATAAAGCATTAAAGCTAAAAAATAATTAAAGGTAATGTCCACAACCAATACTGATCTTGAAAATGGTTTTATTTTTGAGTAACTCATCTTTTTGCAGAATAAAAATGTTTATTCTTCATTCTCATTACAGCTGAAGATAATGGTAAATTGAGAGAAGATTATGAAAAAAGCTTAAAGAAATATGAAGGCCTTGTGCGGAAACAGGAGCAACTACTGCGAGGTGACTTGATAGATTTAAAGATGTGTTAAACAATACATTTTTTGTCTTGTTGGACTCTCTAAGTATCGGATTAGTCTTAATATCTGTGATGACCATAAGGACATTCTGCCAATGTAACATCTGTCTTTGTATTCTTTGGTCAGTCTCCTACTACCTGCTTCTGAACTTGGCCGAAGATCTGAGCGTTGAGCTGAAGATGAGGAACAAGGGCATTGTCCGCATGCTGGTCAACACGCTGGACAGGAATAACTTTGAACTGCTCATCTTGGTGGTTTCTTTCCTTAAAAAACTCAGCATTTTTATTGAGAACAAAAAGGAAATGGTGAGTTTGAATTATAGAGGTGTCATCATTTTTTGCATTGTAGGTTAATCGTTCTAGTCATGGATGGGTGTGCAGCTGTAGAGTTCATCATGATAGAATTATTATTATAAAAAACAATACTTTGTATAACATATAAAAAATTATCACATGGCTTTCAATACAGAGTATTTGGCAAATACAAGCTGAAAACCACAGTAATATTTATAACCTTTTTCAAAACGGAGCTTCTCATATCATTACTTGTGGGACATTTAAACTTTAAGAAATAAAAATTACAATCAGCAACAGTTTTAATTTTCAGGGTGTATTATATATACTTAGGTAGACAGAATTTACTTTGTTAAAAAGAATCCCATAATATTCAAAATAAAATAGTTTGTTCTTTTTACAATTAAAAACAGCTGTAAACTAATGTTGAACAGATATTCAGAACTTAATAAATCTTAAGACTGTTCTTACAGCTGACTCAAGGAAGTTACGTTACATTCATTGCAGGTTGAAATGAACATTGTAGAAAAGCTGACGAGACTGATCCCATGTGACCACGAGGATCTGCTCAACATCATCATTCGGTTACTCCTTAACCTCAGCTTTGATCCTGACATTCGCAACAAAATCATCAAGTTTGGCCTGCTGCCCAAACTTGTCAACTTGCTGAGTAGGTTTCTTTATTATAACTTCATATGCAGATATCTTTATTATATGTTACAAAAAATATTTAGATAATAAAGTTTTTAAGCAGCTGATGATTTTCTGCGCATGTTTCAGCCAATGAGAACCACAGGCAACTGGTTCTATGTATCCTGTACCACATCAGCATGGATGACAAGGCCAAGTCAATGTTTACTTTCACAGACTGTGTCCCACTGGTAAGTTTATTTAACTCTTCTAAAAGTGAGACAAAATCGATAACATGTCAAACTTTAATATGACACATGCTATGGCATAATAACTATTTCTAGAAAAATGTAATAAATATCTAACATGTACAATACATTTAAATAAAGGTTATTTTTAGTTTATTATAGTGCAATTTATAAATATTTCCACTGCTTTTTTCTGGCAACAGTCATGAAATTAAAAACAGCAAGTTTCTAAAATATTGACCTGGCAAGCTTAAAATGTGTTAATTCATATTGATCTGGTCCCTTAGGCCATGAAGATGTTGCTGGAGAGTCCTGAAGACCCTGACCTTGAACTTGTGGCTCTGTGTATAAACCTGGCAGCCAACAAACGAGCAGCTCAGCTTATCTGTGATGGGCCTGGCCTAAAGTTGCTCATGAAACGAGCCTTCAAGTTCAAGGATCCTTTCCTCATGAAGATGATCAGAAACTTGTCCCAGCACTCTGGGACTACAAAAAATCTCTTCATTGTAAGTTCATCTTTCATCTGATTCAAGTTTTCATACCTGTCTAGGTTTAGTTAGAACTAGTTTCAAAAGCTTGACAACATTTGACTTCTGTGCGCTGAGTAACACAGCTACAAAAATCTCCCAAAAATTGCTTGCTAAAATCAATCAGTGCAACTTCACGCTCTTCATTTGCGCAGGTCATCAAAAGCAGCTGACTGAGTAATATTGAAATCACTAATATACTGTTGAATCACCTTTTATTGTAATTGCTATTGCTACCTTAATCTTAATAGCTAATAAACCATTTATCATATTTATGATTTATTATACATTATTTTTAGGTAACAAATTTATTTCAATTGTACATTGTATTAGTTTATTTTAGCAAAAATATCTGAAAAAAAATCTGAATTTTAATTTTTAGGACTACATCTCCGACTTGTGTACACATATACTACAGTGGGAGAATGAAGATTTCAGCCTTGAATGTTTAGGAATTCTGGGTAACCTGACAATACCAGACCTGGACTACGAGCTGATACTCAAGGAATACAACCTGATTCCTTGGATCAAGGGGAAGCTGCAGCCTGGTCAGTTGAAATGTTTCTTATTTGATTTTCTTACTTGACCAGTTGAAATGTTTCTTATTTGATTTACTTACCTGGTCAGTTGAAATGTTTCTTATTTGATTTTCTTACCTAGTCAGTTGAAATGTTTCTTATTTGATTTTCTTTCCTGGCCAGTTGAAATGTTTCTTATTTGATTTTCTTACCTGGTCAGTTGAAATGGTTCTTATTTGATTTTCTTACCTAGTCAGTTGAAATGTTTTTTCCTTGATTTTCTTACCTGGTCAGTTGAAATGTTTCTTCCTTGATTTTCTTACCTGGTCAGTTGAAATGTTTATTATTTGATTTTCTTACCTGGTCAGTTGAAATGTTTTTTATTTGATTTTCTTACCTGGCCAGTTGAAATGTTTCTTCCTTGATTTTCTTACCTGGTCAGTTGAAATGTTTCTTACTTGATTTTCTTACTTGGTCAGTTGAAATGTTTACTTGATTTTCTTACCTGGCCAGTTGAAATTTTTCTTATTTGATTTTCTTACCTGGTCAGTTGAAATGTTTCTTATTTGATTTACTTACCTGGTCAGTTGAAATGTTTACTTAATTTTCTTACTGGGTCAGTAGAAATGTTTACTTGATTTTCTTTCCAGGTCAGTTGAAATGTTTCTTATTTGATTTACTTACCTGGTCTGTTGAAATGTTTCTTACTTCATTTTCTTACCTGGTCGGTTGAAATGTTTACTTAATTTTCTTTCTGGGTCAGTAGAAATGTTTACTTGATTTTCTTTCCAGGTCAGTTGAAATGTTTTCTTGATTTTCTTACCTGGCCAGTTGAAATGTTTCTTCCTTGATTTTCTTACCTGGTCAGTTGAAATGTTTCTTATTTGATTTTCTTACCTGGTCAGTTGAAATGTTTCTTATTTGATTTTCTTATGTGGTCAGTTGAAATGTTTTTTATTTGATTTTCTTACGTGGTCAGTTGAAATGTTTACTTGATTTTCTTTTACCTGGCCAGTTGAAATGTTTCTTATTTGATTTTCTTACCTGGCCAGTTGAAATGTTTTTTATTTGATTTTCTTACGTGGTCAGTTGAAATGTTTACTTGATTTTCTTTTACCTGGCCAGTTGAAATGTTTCTTATTTGATTTTCTTACCTAGCCAGTTGAAATGTTTCTTATTTGATTTTCTTTCCTGGCCAGTTGAAATGTTTCTTATTTGATTTTCTGTCCTGGCCAGTTGAAATGTTTCTTATTTGATTTTCTTTCCTGGCCAGTTGAAATGTTTTTTATTTGATTTTCATTCCTGGCCAGTTGAAATGTTTCTTACTTGATTTACTTACCTGGTCAGTTGAAATGTTTCTTATTTGATTTTCTTACTTGGCCAGTTGAAATGTTTCTTATTTAATTTTTTTACCTGGTCAGTTGAAATGTTTCTTATTTGATTTTCTTACCTAGCCAGTTGAAATGTTTCTTATTTGATTTTCTTACCTGGCCAGTTGAAATGTTTCTTACTTGATTTTCTTACCTGGCCAGTTGAAATGTTTATTATTTGATTTTCTTACCTGGCCAGTTGAAATGTTTCTTATTTGATTTTCATTCCTGGCCAGTTGAAATGTTTCTTACTTGATTTTCTTACCTGGTCAGTTAAAATGTTTCTTACTTGATTTTCTTACCTGGTCAGCTGAAATGTTTTTTATTTGATTTTCTTACCTGGCCAGTTGAAATGTTTCTTCCTTGATTTTCTTACCTGGTCAGTTGAAATGTTTCTTACTTGATTTTCTTACTTGGTCAGTTGAAATGTTTACTTGATTTTCTTACCTGGCCAGTTGAAATGTTTCTTATTTGATTTTCTTACCTGGTCAGTTGAAATGTTTCTTATTTGATTACTTACCTGGTCAGTTGAAATGTTTACTTAATTTTCTTACTGGGTCAGTAGAAATGTTTACTTGATTTTCTTTCCAGGTCAGTTGAAATGTTTCTAATTTGATTTACTTACCTGGTCTGTTGAAATGTTTCTTACTTCATTTTCTTACCTGGTCGGTTGAAATGTTTACTTGATTTTCTTTCCAGGTCAGTTGAAATGTTTTCTTGATTTTCTTACCTGGCCAGTTGAAATGTTTCTTCCTTGATTTTCTTACCTGGTCAGTTGAAATGTTTCTTATTTGATTTACTTACCTGGTCAGTTGAAATGTTTCTTATTTGATTTTCTTTCCTGGCCAGTTGAAATGTTTTTTATTTGATTTTCTTACGTGGTCAGTTGAAATGTTTACTTGATTTTCTTTTACCTGGCCAGTTGAAATGTTTCTTATTTGATTTTCTTACCTGGCCAGTTGAAATGTTTTTTATTTGATTTTCTTACGTGGTCAGTTGAAATGTTTACTTGATTTTCTTTTACCTGGCCAGTTGAAATGTTTCTTATTTGATTTTCTTACCTAGCCAGTTGAAATGTTTCTTACTTGATTTTCTTACCTAGCCAGTTGAAATGTTTCTTATTTGATTTTCTTTCCTGGCCAGTTGAAATGTTTCTTATTTGATTTTCTTTCCTGGCCAGTTAAAATGTTTCTTATTTGATTTTCTTTCCTGGCCAGTTGAAATGTTTCTTATTTGATTTTCATTCCTGGCCAGTTGAAATGTTTCTTACTTGATTTACTTACCTGGTCAGTTGAAATGTTTCTTATTTGATTTTCTTACCTGGCCAGTTGAAATGTTTCTTATTTAATTTTCTTACCTGGTCAGTTGAAATGTTTCTTATTTGATTTTCTTACCTAGCCAGTTGAAATGTTTCTTATTTGATTTTCTTACCTGGCCAGTTGAAATGTTTCTTACTTGATTTTCTTACCTGGCCAGTTGAAATGTTTCTTATTTGATTTTCTTTCCTGGCCAGTTGAAATGTTTCTTACTTGATTTTCTTACCTGGTCAGTTAAAATGTTTCTTACTTGATTTTCTTACCTGGCCAGTTGAAATATTTCTTACTTGATTTTCTTACCTGGTCAGTTGAAATGTTTCTTATTTGATTTTCTTTCCTGGCCAGTTGAAATGTTTTTTGATTTTCTTACCTGGCCAGTTGTAGTGTTTCTTACTTGATTTTCTTACCTGGTCAGTTGAAATGTTTCTTATTTGATTTTCTTACCTGGTCAGTTGAAATGTTTCTTATTTGATTTTCTTTCCTGGCCAGTTGAAATGTTTCTTACTTGATTTTCTTACCTGGCCAGTTGAAATGTTTCTTATTTGATTTTCTTTCCTGGCCAGTTGAAATGTTTCTTACTTGATTTTCTTACCTGGTCAGTTAAAATGTTTCTTACTTGATTTTCTTACCTGGCCAGTTGAAATATTTCTTACTTGATTTTCTTACCTGGTCAGTTGAAATGTTTCTTATTTGATTTTCTTTCCTGGCCAGTTGAAATGTTTTTTGATTTTCTTACCTGGCCAGTTGTAGTGTTTCTTACTTGATTTTCTTACCTGGTCAGTTGAAATGTTTCTTATTTGATTTTCTTTCCTGGTCAGTTGAAATGCCAAAATTTTTCTACCTGGTCAGAAACACCAAAATTATTATTTTTAAAAATGTGTGTGTACAAAAATTGATTGGCTTCACTTTTTCAACTGTAAAGCTAGCAAATGAACATGATGCTGCAGTATTTTAGATGTAGTTAGGGTTAGTGTTGTAGTCCTGTTACCTATTTTGTTGAATTATTAATCTTCTACTACCTATGGAATCCACAGCACATGTGTTAATTAAAAACTAACACCAAGCTCTTGTAGTACATCAACTCATTTAATAATTTAATTAATCCAGTACAGATGTCTCTTTTTTACTACCATACCAGATGACGAAATCCTAGATGTATGATACACTCAGAATCCACTACTTTCCTATCAAAGACCCATAGCAAGACTATTAAGACAGTTCTTTGTACTCACTGCAAAAATGTCTCTGTCTTCCATACCACATTACTATCACATTCTTTATTATTTATTTACACAAAAATCTTTCTGTACATAAAAATTCTCATACCTAACATGCACCTCTTCATCACAGCTTCATCTCTCCACTGTTGGTTTACATAAGCTGCTCTACTCTTATAAGTACTGTAATCATAGAGGTTGTGCGTTAAGGTTAGTTTCTTGTTACTGACGTTGGTTTACAACAAGGTAAGCTATTTTTTTTTAAATTTTTTAATTTCTGCTGTAACTTCAGGTGCTGCAGATGATGATGTGGTACTGGAGGTTGTGATACTTGTAGGGACCGTGTGCAGTGATGATGCATGTGCCAAGCTGTTGGCTGACAGCAACATAATCCATCTGCTGATTGAGCTACTCAATGGTAAGGTTAGCTTCTTGTCAGTGACATATCTTAACTTGTTGTTAGTGATATACCTTACAGTAAGCTTGTTGTCAGTGATATATTTTAACTTGTTGTTAGTGATATACCTTACAGTAAGCTTGTTGTCAGTGATATACCTTAACTTGTTGTTAGTGATATATCTTACAGTAAGCTTGTTGTCAGTGATATATTTTAACTTGTTGTTAGTGATATACCTTACAGTTAGCTTGTTGTCAGTGATATACCTTACAGTTAGCTTGTTGTCAGTGATATATCTTAACTTGTTGTTAGTGATATACCTTACAGTAAGCTTGTTGTCAGTGATATACCTTAACTTGTTGTTAGTGATATATCTTACAGTTAGCTTGTTGTTAGTGATATATTTTAACTTGTTGTTAGTGATATACCTTACAGTTAGCTTGTTGTCAGTGATATACCTTACAGTTAGCTTGTTGTCAGTGATATATCTTAACTTGTTGTTAGTGATATACCTTACAGTTAGCTTGTTGTCAGTGATATATCTTAACTTGTTGTTAGTGCTATACCTTACAGTTAGCTTGTTGTCAGTGATATATCTTAACTTGTTGTTAGTGATATACCTTACAGTTAGCTTGTTGTCAGTGATATACCTTACAGTTAGCCATTTGTCAGTGATATATCTTAACTTGTTGTTAGTGATATACCTTACAGTTAGCTTGTTGTCAGTGATATATCTTAACTTGTTGTTAGTGATATACCTTACAGTAAGCTTGTTGTCAGTGATATATCTTAACTTGTTGTCAGTGATATACCTTACAGTTAGCTTGTTGTCAGTGATATACCTTACAGCTAGCTTGTTGTCAGTGATATACCTTACAGCTAGCTTGTTGTTAGTGATATACCTTACAGTTAGCTTGTTGTCAGTGATATACCTTACAGTTAGCTTGTTGTCAGTGATATATCTTTCAACCAGCTTGTTCAACTTAAGTTGGCATAAACTGCGTGACTCAGCTTACTGATGAATAAAAAAATTATTTCTATTTCCAGCGAAACAGGAAGATGATGAGGTTGTCTGTCAGATTGTGTATGTGTTCTATCAGATGATTTTCCACGAGGCAACCAGAGAAATTATCATTAAAGAAACACGTATCTTTTACTATTTAGTTCTTACTGGGGTACATAGACCCACACTTTGTTTATTGCTTAATCTCCGTTAAAATTATAAGTTTTATCAATTGAAACATTTTAGCTAGGCACACTTGGTTTTCATTTTTACTTTCTTGTATATAGAGTTTAGAAGAAGTATTGTAATAGATCTGAATAATTAGCTTACATTTTGAAAAGCTTTTTGAGTTCTATACCCTCCTACTTTATCATATACAGAACATAAAGGATGTATTGTAATGGCCTATTGAAAAAATATATAAAATTTGTAGTTTTCTTTCAACTTTTGAGCGATACTTTGCTTTACCTTGTCTCAAAAGTCAATAACTAGAGCACTGTTTATGTCATGTAGGCTAAATTTCACATATAAGTATAAAGATTGTACACACAGGTGTCTATAAATTTTTGAACAACTTCCGGTAACTTGAAGTGGTACTTTACACTTTATTTTTATGTGAATACGATAACTTGATTACTGTTTCAGTTAGATAGATGGAATTTCTTAAATAAGTTTATGATCTTATTTTTTTGATTTCATGAAAGCAAAGTAGTAAAAAGATCACCTACCGGACTGGTTTCTTTAAAAGGTTAAGACTCAGTGACAATATACTGTGACATAAAATATGACTTAATTAGAGCTTTAATTATTTGGAAAAAAAAGATCAATATTTTATTATCAACTACTTATTTTCCACTCAATGTAGTTCTATCCCTGCCAATCTCAACAACTTGGTCAACCTGTATGTAATGTAAAGTAATATAAATAAATTCTGCATTGTAGCATTTTAAATTTTTTGGATAATATGCTTATGTATCTATATACTTGATTTGAGGTATGCTTATATTATACCTTAATGAAATGTTAAAACATAATACAAATGTCCTTAACATTGGTGTAGAGGCTCCTGCCTATTTAATTGACCTGATGCATGACAAGAATGCTGAGATACGAAGTGTTTGTGAAAACACCCTGGACATGATTGGGGTAAATATTCTCTTTTTTTGTTTTATAAAATAATATGTTCTTAAATTCTGATGCAGGAGACACAAAAACTGGGAGAGATATGTGGACAGGAAACAATAGTATGGCAAATCATGGGCAGGAAATGGCAATGGATTTGGCACATGCTTAGGAAGTATGCGGGTAATAGAAAAGCCTTGGGGTGGAACCCCCAGGGCAAGCAACGCTGTGGTCGACCCAGGAACACATGCCGATGTAGCATTGTGGAGGAGGCAAAAAGGATAGGATACAATGACACATGTAACTTTTTTCCCCCTCAACAGGAGTTTGATGAAGAATGGGCCAAGAAAATCCAGCTCGAAAAATTCCGCTGGCACAACTCCCAGTGGCTGGAGATGGTCGAGTCCAGGCAGGTGGACCAGCTGGCAGACTCAGCTTTCATGTACCCAGAGGAGCAGGGGTTCGACCCCTACCTGCAGGATGCTGACATTCTAGACAGGCCTGATCTCTTCTATGGTAACGAGAATTTATATGTAGACAAAATTGTCTTTACTTTTTACATATTGATCTGCTCTTCATGTTACTTATTTCATAAAATCAGCAATATATACAATACATGCCCTGGAGTGTTCTCTAAATAAATAAATTAAATCTGATGATTTATTGAATTAAAGAACACAATAGAGTGTAATAGCAAAGGTAATTTTCTCTAAACATGGAAACATTTTCCACCTATTTTTCCTCAGAAGGTTATGATAATAATGGACACTTGACACCTGAGTATATTGATGATGCTGGGTTGTACAGTGACTTTTATTCTCAGCAGCCTTATGGGTAAGATATTCCAATTGTGTTAACTTGAATGTAGCCTATACAGCGCAAGTAAAATGAAAGCTGGGGACCTGCATGTTGTTTGGGAGTCAGTTGTCTAGCCAGGTCAGTCAGTCATTTGGCTGAGTCAGATTTAGCAGTGTCATTTATTTGACCAGATAAAAATTGTATAATTGCAGGTATGAAGCAGACGACCCTTATATCAGACCTGAAGGACACCTGGGATTTGTTCATGATGGCTATCAAATGGAGCCTCGTGGACTTGACCCCTACGGCCAAGATTATGGTCAATATATAAATGGAGATCATGATAAGAGCCCATTTTACAAGGAATATGGATATCGATAATCTCAAAGTGCTTTAAATGTGATATGATAGTCACCCCTGAAAATATTTATTTCATATTGTTTGATAATATTATGTGAAACCTGTTTGTTGTCTAAACTTGCTTGACATTTTACTAATCCCAGTACGGATTGCATCAATTTAAAATTTAATCTGCGAATAACTAATGCCTTCTAATTTTTTGTACCAGCACGGAGATAAATTTTTGGATGTATTTAGTTTTGTAGTTAAAAACAATACAGGTATTTTCTTGAAACATGATATGAACTTTAAACTTTGTATGTTTAACAAGTAGGATTTGTACAGCAGCCAACATATTTTCTTTTCTAGTCTCAGCTGATGGACACATTGAAAAATTACATGGCACAGTACCCAGCAGTCTAAAACAACAATGATTCTGGAGTACATTGCCCTTGTTTTGGTCAGCTGAAAACTAAGACAACAAGACTGATGTAAATACATGTGACAAAATAACTTGTACATTGTCAGCTTTAGTTTTAATAAATTTATTTTCAATTTTTTTTATTTTGCCCGATTTTTTGCCTTAATTCTTTGTTAATTAAATATATATATATATATATAAATTGACCCTCCATCACAAAATGTTGCCTTATTACCTATTTAAAAAACGATTAAAATTTTTTTTTAAAATGGGAGTAGATACAGTTTTGAAATTTGACCAACCATCCCTGATAAAAAATGGTTACTAGATCTATCTGTCTTTGAAAGTCCACCACAGATTGTGTGTTTGGCTGTAGCTCAAAAAAGTACATATAAAAAAGTAAAAGCAACTTTATTTTGTCATCGAGGGCCACTTAATTAAAATTAGCACACCTCTCCATTTGTACAATCAATTTCCATAAATAAATTATAAGAGAACATTTCACACCACGATTTGTAAAGCTTACAAAGTATACCATTAAGTTATATTACAATAAACAACAAAATATTTCAAGCTTAAAAAAGTAGTTTACACAATGGTGAGAAGAAAAAAAAAAGCTACCCATCATGCATCAGCAGGAGTAAAAAGGTGGAGTATAAATTAACAAATTAAACTACAATAAATCAATTAAAAACAATGCTAAAAATGTGTACTTGTTTTTTCCCTATACTTCTTTTAATACTTAAAAAAAAAGCTTTGCTTTCAAATTAGAATATGATAAATTCATTTCAATTAAAAATCAATGATTTAATTAGAAATTAAAATGTATACTTGGTGTAGAATATTTCTAGAAACTGGTGAAAAATTCTGGCAGTGTTAAAACAATAAAAATCTGGAAACCAGGCCAGTACAATAAACATTGCAATAACAAGAAAATGGCAATATGTTGCCAGTTAAATCATACTTATGGCAATGAGAATAATTTTAAATCATACATACAGCAATTAGATTAAATTACTTCACATCCTGTTTTTAGTAATGCTTCAATACATTAAAATTATTTTTACAACCAGCAATTTTGTGAGGAGCACTTGAAAAAAATGGTAACATGGAATAACATGTTTAATTTAATTATACAAATTACAGAGGGCCATGATTACAAGTGCAGCTATTATGTCATAAGAATTGTCGTTTGAGACTTTAGTGCTTTTAAATATTTAATTTCCTTATTAAGTAAATATAGAATTGTCAGTAACATGTGTAGAGTTAAAATGGCTTTGGCTGAACAAATATTTTTAATTTGCCTTCAAACCATCTTACAATATGTACCAAACTATTTTCTTTTTATTACAAATATTAGATCTGGTGCAACCAGGATACCTTTCGAAACACAGCACATATCTAGATACAACTTTAAAAATGACTGCTCTTGTTGATTGTCTATTTGAGTGAAACAAGATAAAATATCTTTCTATAAGAACAGAAAACTTATTCAGCTAAAGAGGTTGTCGCCTATATGGTAACTAGTAAAATACTGCTTGAAGATCGTGAGCTTTAACACAATGCTTTGTACACAATGTGTAAATAGTTTGTACATCACAACTGAGAGGTTTCACTATTTTAATACTTGGTGTAAGTTATGAATGGACATCTAGCCCAGATGCATTAGCCAGATAAATGTTCTACATAGATTTTGTTTACTGTCAATCTGGGGTTAAGGTGCACACAAATATTTTTAGGAGAGGAAATTAATTATTGCACAGCTTTTGGTATAAAGATGTGGGCAGAATGAAAGACAGGTTAGTGGAAGTCAAGATCAAGACATGGCAGGTTGATGGAAGTCAAGATGTAGCAGGTTGATGAAGACAGGTTAATGGAAGTCAAGATGTAGCAGGTTGATAAATTCAAGTTAGTGGAAGTCAAGATCAAGACATAGCAGGTTGATGTAAGTCAAGATGTAGCAGGTTGATGAAGACAGGTTAATGGAAGTCAAGATGTAGCAGGTTGATAAATTCAAGTTAATGGAAGTCAAGATCAAGACATGGCAGGTTGATGGAAGTCAAGATCAAGGCATAGCAGGTTGATGGAAGTCAAGATCAAGGCATAGCAGGTTGATGGAAGTCAAGATGTAGCAGGTTGATAAATTCAAGTTAATGGAAGTCAAGATCAAGACATGGCAGGTTGATGGAAGTCAAGATCAAGGCATAGCAGGTTGATGGAAGTCAAGATCAAGGCATAGCAGGTTGATGGAAGTCAAGATGTAGCAGGTTGATAAAGTCAGGTTGATGGAAGTCAAGATCAAGGCATAGCAGGTTGATAAAGTCAGGTTGATGGAAGTTAAGATGTAGCAGGTTGATAAAGTCAGGTTGATGGAAGTTAAGATGTAGCAGGTTAATGAAAACAGGTTGATGAAAGTTAAGAAGTGTAAACATGTAGCATTGTTATCCAGTAAAAAAAATGGTTCAAATTATTTATCATAATCTATGTTCAGTAAACACCAATATCACCTGCTGAACGGATATAACAATTCTAAAATATAACGTTATCTAAATTATTCCAGAACATACAATTTTCTAACGATGTATAACACACTGGAGTGAGACGCTTGCGTGAAAATCAAAGAAGCTGCTGATGTTGGTTCACCAGCCTTCAAATTTTTTAAAGTCTAAAATATAGACAGTAGTAACTGTGTAAACCATCACACTTCAATTGAAAAAAACCTACAAACTACACCTATCATTGGTCAGTTCCCCAGTCTGTGTCCAAATCTCCCCATCCAGCTGCATCCTGGGAATAAAAAAAATAATTAATGATTCCCTCACCTAGTAAAATTAGAATATTTATTGATTACCTGGGAACAAGCCACAAATAATTGTATGCTTATACAGTCATCTGCTCGGTTAACTTAAAGTGATTCCCTTTTAATTTCCTTGCTATAATGATTGCTTCCCTCCGCCCACTAGAGTTTTAAAAGAATGTTACAACCCAATCTATTTTAACCACCTCTAATATAATGCAAATAAGAGATTTTGAAGAATGGTTGTGAATAACATTTAGAAGATGAACTTTAAAAAAAAAAATCACTAACCTCCTCTAGAGTTGCCATGGCAAAAATTGTACCAACGTTTTGACCGCTGACTTTAGGTGAGAAGTTATCTGTTGATTCCACAAGAGGAACCACACCTTTGGGCTGGGCTATGCTGGGTGCCATGTCTGCAAAAAAGTCCAGCTCTGGATCAGGTTTGGTTTTTATCTCTATAGATTTGATGTCTAGGCCCATTCCTAAGTCATCCACTGGTTTTTCTGTCTTCTTTGTGTGAGATTTGTTCAAAGCTGCGGTTGAATTGAGTTTAAGACTTTTAGAGCCAGCTGATGGGTGACTTGATTTCACATGCCCAAACATGGTATGGCCAGCAGCATTATCCCACTCTACTTGCTCATTATTGTTTTTATTATTCTTATCATAGGTTAACCAATCTTCCTTGACCTCCACACCCTTTTTCAAATCACTGTCCACAACTGGGTCAGACCAGTCCATTTTTACCGGTGGCGGGGAGGGTGGAGTTTGACTTCTGTATGGGCTCGGGGATGTCTGGACCTTTCCATCCCCATCAGTGATGGTGGTCATACTCTGTAGTTCGGATTCTATCTCAGCATCAATCTGTTGGTCAAACTCGTCCCACTCTGACCAGGCGGGGGAGTTTTTGTCCACTTGTAAGCTCTCCTCTTCCACATCAACATCATCTGCATCATCTTTCACTTCCTCGCTTATCTCATCATTCCCTGAGTCTGCTGTTTCTTCGCTTGTAGGGGGCAAACCATTCTCAACACATCCTGTGTGGAAACAAAAATTGTATTTGAGTCTAGTATAACATTTCTGGCTGATCAAAACTTTACTATTTCCGTTAAAGTTTCAAACAAGTCAGACACCAATAAGGTATAATTTTTTATATACAGTATGCTAATACTAATTAATTGATTGTTTTAGATCCTCCAAAAGATTGAAAGAAACTTGCATTCATAAAAAATTAAATACTACGTGACCAATAAACTTTAACATAAGAAGTTTAATAAGTTTAACATTAAAATCAAAATATTCTGGCCACAATTAGTGAAATGCATGACTGTTTATCATGTTTATATTTACACTGCCATTAGTCTACAAACAGTCAATATACAAACTTTAGGACAAAGCATACATTTAAAAAATAAACACACAAGCCCCCCCCCCCCCCCCAAATCAAACACTCAATGACAGTTAGCACCTGTTGGTCCAAGCTGTCTTCTAATAGAAGCCATGTTATATAAAGTAAAACAAGAGTTTCCCATAATACCTGCAAGTTCCTTCTCCTTCAACTTCCTTTTCCTTTCTTCTCTTTTCAACCTGGCCTCTTCCTTCTTCTGTAACTTTTCCTTCAGCTTCTTTTCCTGATCAGCTAAAACTTTTTCTTTACTTAGAGTAAACTTCTTGCTGAAATGAAACAAAAGATGATGGCAGTCCTACACAGACAACAACATGGGTAGAATGAAGATTGTTAGAATAGTGCAAGTCACGTACTGTTTTAATGTAGCATTTTTTAAGTAGAAACAGTGGATTGGGGTAAAGTGTGTCAAATTGATTTAACGGTCTGCCAGGCAACAGAGATTTAAAGCATGGACAAAAAAAGCAGCACAGCAGATTCAAAGGAGTCAAACACATCTATAGGTGTATTTCTTACCTCCCTTTAGCCAAGTCTTTGAGCAAAGGTTTGTGGGAAGAGAGCGCTGACATCATATTCTGTGGTATATCCATCTGCACTATTTCATCATGTGTTATTTTCTGCACAACCAGTAAAAAATATCCATTAAAATATACCAAATTTAAACATTAATTTCATCACTCTGTAGAAGGATACTTAATTTGAGATGTTTGAGATTTTTATAAACTTTGAAAAAGTTCTCGGAGTTAATTAAAATTTGTAAAGCAGCCTTAAAAAGGACCTGAGTCAAAAATCCAGGTGTTTTTTAATACTGCCAGCCCTATCAAAGCCAGCAATGAAGAACTTACTTTTGGAATGCCATGAAAGAAAAATGGTTTTCTGTTTCCCCCTATGACAAAGTCCCCCCCAAGATGAGGCACCAGGTCTGCTAATGCTCGAAGACTTGCTGCCACTATTCTGTCATCAGAGTCTCTCACACCAAGGAGTATCTGGCCAAAACAAGAATCTCAAATAAATATTTGTGTTTAACTGGCACGTCTGTGAAAGGAAATGGAAGTTACCCAGAATTAATGGTCCTTATTGCAGATGAGATCATTCCTGTGGTCTTGGAATTTGAATAGATTAATTACGTGGTCAGCATTATGCCTAGCCATCTGTCATTGTTAAATGTATGCTGTATTGCCAGATAAGACTTGTTGTATGTGTTAGACTTAATGTTAGATGGCTGTTTGACCTTCACTCAGTGCATTAGGAAAATTTTTTAGCTTTGAATCAAGTCTAAATATTGCGCATTCAGCTGTGACAATAGCAAAGCCAACCAAATTTTCATATAGATTGGAAAGTTACCAAAGAATTGTACAAAGACCAATCAAGTTTTTCTATTTGTAGCTAAATTACCTGGATAAATATGTCCTCCTCTAGCTGAGTACGTGAAAACAAATGGACGTAGTGTGAAAAATGTTTGAGGAGAATCAAGCGTATATGGCTGTCGTGAACGTGGAATATGTTAAATAAATGATTGATAACATAGGTCCTGTAGAGTGTTTCATCTATAAGTCCCTCTATTGATGATGTTCTCAGCTCAGAATCTGGAAATAAATAAATTTTAATTATTTAAAATAATCAAATAAAAAAATAATGAAAAGCAATGTAGGTATTTATAAAATTGCAGAAAGACATTTCAGTAGTTGTATCCTACCAATAATCCTGAAACACAATGTAAGCACGTCAACTAAGTAAATACCTCAATGTACTTCTAAGTACTATTTTTAACAAAATAAAATTTGAAAGGCAAGTTTTTATATTTTCTTACTTCCTTTAGGCATTAGTAGATGGGGTAACACTAACTCTTCCGCCCACTGATTCAACAAAACAAACCTCGCTAGAAGTGGAACAACCAGTCTTCTAGCTATCACTGTTTCAGGGAGCTTTCTTAATCTAGGCATCAAATTGCTGAAATTACAATGCATTGTTTGTCATAAATGTCTAGCAATAAAGTCATAGCCAAAGCATTGAAATAACACTAAATATCTAATAATATTTCAAAATACTGTAGTCAAAATATTTCTGGAAAAGCCTAGAAAACACAACACAAATGCTAACAACATTAAAAAGATATCTAAGATTTTAAAATATTTATTGATAAAAAAACATTCACATATATTTGTTGTACATTTTTCATAAATAGAAAGTCAATAAAAATTATCTGATTACAATCCACATGAGTGGTCAAACACATTAAAGACAGACTTGCCTGAAAAACTCTTTTGTCTCTGTCTCAGTCTTGACAGTGATGTGTTTAAGAAAATTGATGATGTTGATCAATTCTGATCTAAAAATAAAAATGCAATTTAATTAAAAGCTGCCTTTGTGTGTATTAAACTTTGTATAAAAGAAACTGTTTCTTTTAAATGTGACCCTAAGCTGTGCCTTTGCAAGTCTCTAGTTTTGACTATAATTATAAACCAGATAGTGCATACAATGCATCAAATGGGTTTACACTATAAATTATATTCGTGACTATAAGTGTACATTGTTTATGTCTAGTAGTAAATAAAATTCGTGGTCAATGCTAGACTGTGAACCCAAAAGTCTCGAGTTTGAATCTGGATTCAAGTCAGTAGAACCTCCCTCAATCCACCCAGCTCTGATGGGTACCTGACTTATGTTAGGGAAAGTAAAGGCGGCTGGGCACAGTGCTGACCACACTATCCCTACATAGGCAGAGGTCACAGAAACAGGTAAACTCTACTTCACTTGCCCATTGGACCGCCTGGTTCAAAAAGGGAACTTTTATTTAATTAAAATTTTCAACTGTGGATGCATTTTATTCATATGAATTAGCTTTGCATTAAGTTAACAGTAAATTGTCTACTACAACACCAAATCACTAGCATATACCAGCAAGTGCCATCATTAAATTCATTGATCAATAACAGTGAGGTGAATGTATTCACAACAGTGTGAATTTAACAGCACTAATAAAAACAGTTACTTGACTGATATAAAAAGGTACTTGGGAGGTGAATTGTATTCACCATGTGAATTTAACAGCATTGATATAAACAGTTACTTGACTGATATAAAAAGGTACTTGGGAGGTGAATTGTATTCACCATAATGTGGATTTAACAGCACTAATATAAACAGTTACTTGACTGATATAAAAAGGTACTTGGGAGGTGAATTGTATTCACCATAATGTGGATTTAACAGCACTAATATAAAGCGTTACAGCACTGATATAAACAGTTACTTGTATAGTGTCACTGACCTGAAAGATGATGCTTCCAATAAATCCGACACCTTAGGTCTAGACCCAGGGTCAACACTGCTACACTTTGACAACTCTAGCTCCATAGTTTGGATGGTCTCATCTGAAATTGGTTTCAAACAAATCTCAATGTTGCCTTCAGTCACTGACACTACAGTGCTAAAAAATCTTAATTAAACTAATTAAAGGAAATGTGTTACCGCTTATAGTATTATTAAATAAAAAAAAAATTGTAAAAGAAAGAAAGAAAACATGAAGAATTACCTTTGATCAACACCAAGTCTAAAGCAGCATCCACTAATGTTTTGATAGCATAGATGTCTCTAGCATGACCTAGGGTTCCATCTATAGACACCTGGCCATACTGAAATTGAATTTTTGAAAAATATTGAATCAGTTTTTAAATAAATTTAGCTTTCAATAGCTCTTACAATTCTTTTAAATTGCATTTTCTATAGCAAACATCTACTGAAGTCAAAACATTTGAGAGTAAAGTAAGGATTCTACTAAATTGTCTTATAAAATGACCTTTTCCTCTGGCGCTAGAGAGCTCTCACACCTGAAAGCTCTGCACTTGTCCAGGTAGCCTTGTGTTGCTTCTGTAAACTTACAGCTATGCTCCATTCCCCCGAGTTTCCATGTTCCATCTGGACTTACAAAGACAGACGACAGGCACAAATTGTTATGACTGATGCCTAGCTGATGAAAAAAAAAAGTATGCAATGATTAGCATTGAGATAAAGTTTAAAAGGGAAGCAACTACTGGAAAGATGTCTGGAAAAGAGAAATCTCTACCTTGGAATGAAGGAAGTGTAGCCCTTGCAGGAGGTCATAGAGACCAAGGCAGAGTTCCTCTGATGACATTATCTTTAATGCGGTCACCAAGGGTAAAACGGATTCTGTGGCCAGCCAGACATTGGTGGAAGACTCACTGTAGCCAACAAAGCGAAGGATATTGGGGTGTCTAATACTGCGGAGAACCTGTCAGTTAACAATTTATAATCAATTAGTAATACCTAAAAAAAAACTGAAACAAACATTACAGACTATCTCAAAATACATACATATATATATATATATATATATATATATATATATATATATATATATATATATATATATATATATATATATATCAAAATGTAACCTTCTTGTACATGCGTTGGCCAGAAGCATATAGATACTTTGTGTCAGATCTAATCTAAATAAATATTTTCATTCTACTTTATATTTATTGAAAATCTACAAACATACCAGAGCACATTTTTTTAACAAGTGAGCATCTTTTCCTTCTGTATTCTTGGGTTCAAATACAGTAGCTTCTGTGCCGTCAGATTTTTTTATAGGCGACAACTGCCATTGAAAACTTGGAGGACATTCTATTGGGTCATCCCATTGGCAACCCTCTAAAATACTATTTTCTGCACCCATAAATTCTGCCAGAAAAAGAGAATGATTTTTAATAACATTAAATTTAAGTAAGCCTGTGTTATAAGTAGGCCTAAATTTAATAAATTAAAAAATAAGCAGTGTGATAAGTGTGTTTAACTTGAAAAAAAAAACAACTAAGTGCCCATAATATGTGGTGCTAGACTAGTCTTCGGACAGGTTTCCTGTTGATTTCATTGTGTTGTAGTAGCCTGAGTATGATCAATATGCAGAGTAAACTTAAGAGTCAGTCAGTAGAGTTATCAAGTAGTCAGTTAAGTCAGGTAGTAATACTAGTTTGACTACTAGATACAACTCAGTCTAGCACAGAAGTGACTCATTCAAACCTTGGAATGGTTAATTATTAATTAAGGTCATTGCGTTTCGCATCTTTTGCCGGTCAGACCAGCGCTGGGGGGAAAGAAGCTTCTCTCGAGTAGTCACTTCGAAAACATAAATTCCCTTACAAATGTGAAATAACTAAATTTAATGAGTCACCCTTCTTTCAGACAATTTTAGTACCTAACTAACTACATTACCCATTACTCAATGTTGTGATGGTTACTTTAAACTTTAAACTAATAATTTAATAATAGGTCTGAATTACTATTAGTTTAAAATTACCATCATATGACGTAGGCCCTATAGATCTATAATATTAATTATTAGGCCTAATTATTATTACTAATATTACCCACTTGTTTTGGGTGGTACCCAGCTGAACCCAGCAAATCAAGTTTATTTATTATTTAATACGAGCTGACCCGCGCGGTAAGCATACGCGCTATTTAGTTGTTTTATTTGCTACTTTTCAGTGATTCATAATTTCAATTAATTTGTTGAACTCGACTTCTTTTCACTCAGCTCAGACTCAGTCTGTTAGAGTCTGAGACTACAAGTCAAGAGTAGTCTAGCCTATATTAATATCCATCTTAGATATCTATATACTTTTGCTAGACCTATTAATATAGCTCTGTAGAGAAAAGACGAGTTAGAAACTTTTAAAAATAGATTATACCGGAGAGTTCGTAGTGTAATGCCAAACAGTGGAAAATGTAACTATTTTTTAGTATTTATCAGCAGTAGGTCTAAATAAAACTTTTGACCCGGAAATGCTTATTAGCACGAGTAAGTTTCGCTATTTAGTAGTAATACTGATAATTTAATTTTAAAGTATTAAACTCCACTTAAAACTAATGTTAGGATTGTTAGTAATTTACCAAAAAATTATTAGGCCTACGATACTAAAAGATTTATTCTATACTGTGTGCTTAAAAAATGTAACCGCTTGATACCACTATGACATTTAGGCCTAATTATCGGGAAGGGATGGACTTGGATTTTTGCTTCCCCTTCCTTCTCCACCAGTGTTTCTTCCAGACTTTTTCTCCGGGGGGGGGGGCACTTGAAATTTTGGGGGGGGGGGGTAGACTTTCTTCGGGAGGCGGACACTGTTAAATGTAAATATATTCTATATAAATTCCATTTCTTTCGGGGGGGGGGGGGAGGCGGTAGACTTTCTTCGGGGGGGGGGGGGGCAGTGTTCCCGAAGAGATGCCTGGAAGAAACTCTGATGGTATAGGAATATAGACCAACATAAAGTGAAGTTGATGGCGCACATCTTTTAGCAGAACACGCAGCTCCAATTTGGCAAATGGTTAACGACGGCCAGCGTCTCAATCTCCTGGTTGTTGGGTGAAGCCTTTGTGCCCACATCAAGGTCAGGGTCTGTTTATCCCGAAAGGTGCAGTTATTTTCAAGAAGAAAGGTTTAGCCTTTTTCTAGAGAGGAATGAGATTTTACTATAGAATCTCGAGTAAATCCTCAACACATTTTATTATGTATTCTGTTGACAGTATAGGATGGAAGAGTTGAGTGCATTGTCAGCTAAGTCGTCGAGATGGAGCTATAAAATTCATTGCTTGTCTCCATAAACAAATCGAAATAAAAAGGACAAGAAATAAAGACAAGGATTTTTGACCATATTTTGTTTACCAAAGGGTCATTAGTACAGTTTGGTTACTGTGTAGCACAATGCCGTATGAGTTTAATGCTATCGAAGTGAAACACCTTTCGACATTGCCTTGTCTAATATATAAAGCTCAATTCTGTAACGCATATGTTTGTTTGTCGCTGGTTATCGATGGATTTAAGTGTTAGAAAATTATCGTGCGCATTTGTCTAAATCAGGGGTCTCCAAACTTTTCAGTCCGAGGGCCGCATTAACTATCAAATTTCAGTTCGGGGGCCAGTTTCTTCCAGGTATGTCTTTATTTTTTCTGGGCAAAGTTCCTCAACCATCACCAACAAACGATTTTTCCTTAGACAAAAAGATCTCCGCGGGCCGGTTGAGAGGACTTCGCGGGCCGCATCCGGCCCGCAGGCCGTAGTTTGGAGACCCCTGATTTACGCAATTGAAATGTAGACTGGGTACACACGAAGCTATTGTTTAGGCTTTTTGGTCAGTAGTTATTAGATCTATATTAAATCACACATTTAGTTGTTAAATAGACCTTCTATTTTTAAAAAAATTAATGAAAATTTACAATTTTTTGTGTGGTGTGTTTTGAAGTTAACAAACTTTGATTAACCTTTAAATAAATTGAATTATTATACAGTGAACATATATCTGGGAAGGGGAAGTAAGTGGGGTAAGAACGAAATCATCTGTTTGGGAAGGGTTCGTTGCCCATAACTGATTATAAATCTAGTTGGCCTACATTAGAGCTGATTTTGAAAACTGATGGGGGACGGTGGAGAAGGGGGGGGGGGGTGTCTAAAGACAACGGTAGGCGATTTGGTGTATGTTAGTTCTTACCTTAACGTAATCTACATCCTGTTTCCATTATAGACCAATCAAATGGCCGCTATACCTATAAATGCAGTGTTGTTGCATTGTTGAAAGCGACAGCGAGGATCAAATACTTGAGCTACTGCAGTCCAGTGACGGCCCGGATGATTGTGAAGGTTTCCAGAGAAACTGGCCGAAGACTAAAATGTTTGAGCACACCAACCGTGGGAAAAAGTACTGGAACAAAATCAGGAAACAGGTCTGGAAGGAAATGCGTAAGATGGTAGGTCAAGAAGTAGCGTAGCGAGGGGTGGGGGGGACGGGGGGTGGGGGGGGGACACATGTCTCCGGGCGCCGACTTTAGGGGGCGCCGTAATGGGTTGGAAAAATAAATTGAAAGGTTGAGGGTGGTGCAAATCGAAAGTTTGGGGGGGGGGGTGCAATCGAAAAGTTTTCCCCCGGGCGCCGGGTAGGGTCGCTACGCCTCTGAAGTCAAGTGAAACATTGGACAAGTTGCCTTGTCGTCATCATTCATCTGTGTTAGTGTTTCCATTCGGGCATCTTATCCGAGGGGGGGGGGGTCACACCCACCTCTTTACCAGTACAAAATAAAATAATTAGCATAATATACACTTTCAGCATTGTTTCCCACTCTCCCTTAAGTTTCAAGTGTCCCCACCCCCGGAACTAAACGTCTGGAAGAAACCCAGTTCTGAGTTATAACAACTGCTGGGTACGCAAATCCGCTTAGTTATAGTATCAACCCACTCTACAATTTACTTTCTGTCTTCACTGTTCTTTGAGTCTTCATTTTATTTTGAGCTGCCCTTCGAACAGTCAACTTGAGTCTATGTCTTTCAGAAGTTGGGCCAATATAAAAACGTTAATGTACCGATTGAGTTACTCTCATTAATTACATTTAATTTAAAAACAAACGTGGTCGAGTCGGTAAAGCTATGGTTGTTCTAGAGAAACGTCTCGAGCTTGAACCCCGCAGGCAGATGAGGTTCAATAGTTGGGGACAGCAACTCTTGTAGGAGAGACAACTCCAAAATCAAACAACTGCTTCCTCGTAGTTTGTTCTTGGTTGGACAAAGGCTATAGGGGGCAGTCCATAAATGACGTCATACTCGTAGGGGGGATGGGGGTCCGTAATTTTGTGACGGTGTGTGATGAGGGGGAGGGGGGTTCAGATGGTGTGACGTCACACTTTTGCATAATAAAAAAGCAATGTTAGAAAACGAATTTTAGCCGTTTCGCGTTTTAGAAAACTGTTTTAATAAAATGTAATAGGAATTGTTTTAAATACTCTGTTGACAGAGTTCAGACACGATTTTAGATAAATATCGTGTGTTAAGAAAAATTCAACTGCAATTGTGAAGAGAGTTGTAGGCTGAGGAGTGACGTTATTTTGTGTGTGTGTGGGGGGGGGGGGCAGATCTGACTTTTTTTGAAGATGTGTGAAGGAAGGGAGGGGGGAGGTAAACATCTTCAAAAAAGTGTGACGTCATTTATGGATGATCCCACAGAGGTAAATCCTAATAAAGGCTGAAATCGGAGTCAACAGCTTATAAGGCGTCTAACAAGTTGACTCGTAATACTTAATCGTGGTTAGATAATGACGCGTGACTTACATGAACAATCTGTAGGATGTTTGGCGACACAATCAGTCGCGTAAGAATGGAGGCAAGTACGGTATACGCTGGTCGTTTTCTGTCGATGTAGCTGAGCAGGAGCGGAAGTTGAGGCTGGCCGAATCAAAGGTGCTGTCTGAGGGGGCCACAGGGGACGCGAAGTACTTTAAGCTTGGGTGAGGTTCAAAACTCTTTCATATAGTCAGGCAGTCTAGCACTTTGTATGATGTGAGATAGGCAGTCTAGCACTTTGTATGATGTGAGATAGACAAGTACTTTGTATGATTTGAGACAGTCAAGTATTTTGTATGATTTTATACAGTCAAGTACTTTGTATGATTTGAGACAGTCAAGTACTTTGTATGATGTGAGATAGTCAAGCAGTCTAGCACTTTGTATGGTGTGAGATAGGCAGTCTAGCACTTTGTATGATGTGAGACAGTCAAGTACTTTGTATGATGTGAGATAGGCAGGAAGTCTAGTACTTTGTATGATGTGAGATAGGCAGGAAGTCTAGTACTTTGTATGATGTGAGATAGTCAAGCAGTCAAGTACTTTGTATGATTTGAGACAGACAAGTACTTTGTATGATGTGAGATAGGCAGGAAGTCTAGTACTTTGTATGATGTGAGATAGTCAAGCAGTCAAGTACTTTGTATGATTTGAGACAGACAAGTACTTTGTATGATGTGAGATAGGCAGGAAGTCTAGTACTTTGTATGATGTGACATAATCAAGCAGTCAAGCACTTTGTATGATGTGAGATAGGCAGTCTAGTACTTTGTATGATGTGACATAATCAAGCAGTCAAGCACTTTGTATGATGTACGATAGGCAGTCTAGCACTTTGCATGATGTGAGATAGGCAGTCTAGCACTTTGTATGATGTGAGACAGTCTAGCACTTTGTATGATGTGAGATAGGCAGGCAGTCAAGTACTTTGTATGATGTGAGATAGGCATGCAGTCAAGTACTTTGTATGATGTGCGATAAGCAGTCAAGCACTTTGTATGATGTGAGATAGGCCTTCTAGCACTTTGTATGATGTGAGATAGTCAGGTTGTCTAGCACTTTGTATGATGTGAGATATTCAGGCAGTCTAGCACTTTGTATGATGTGAGATAGGCAGTCTAGCACTTTGTATGATGTGAGATATTCAGGAAGTCAAGCACTTTGTATGATGTGAGACAGTCAAGTACTTTGTATGATTTGAGATAGTCAGGCAGTCTAGCACTTTGCATGATGTGAGATAGGCAGTCTAGCACTTTGTATGATGTGAGATAGTCAAGCAGTCAAGTACTTTGTATGATGTGAGATAGTCAAGCAGTCAAGTAGTTTGTATGATGTGAGATAGGCAGTCTAGCACTTTGTATGATGTACGATAGGCAGTCTAGCACTTTGTATGATGTGAGATAGTCAAGCAGTCAAGTACTTTGTATGATGTGTGATAGTCAGACAGTCAAGCACTTTGTATGATGTGAGATAGGCAGTCAAGTACTTTGTATGATGTGAGATACGCAGTCAAGTACTTTGTATGATGTGAGATAGTCAGTCTAGCACTTTGTATGATGTGAGATAGGCAGGAAGTCTAGCACTTTGTATGATGTGAGACAGTCTAGCACTTTGTATGATGTGAGATAGGCAGTCAAGCACTTTGTATGATGTGAGACAGTCTAGCACTTTGTATGATGTACGATAGGCAGTCTAGCACTTTGTATGATGTGAGATAGTCAAGCAGTCAAGTACTTTGTATGATGTGTGATAGTCAGACAGTCAAGCACTTTGTATGATGTGAGATAGGCAGTCAAGTACTTTGTATGATGTGAGATACGCAGTCAAGTACTTTGTATGATGTGAGATAGTCAGTCTAGCACTTTGTATGATGTGAGATAGGCAGGAAGTCTAGCACTTTGTATGATGTGAGACAGTCTAGCACTTTGTATGATGTGAGACAGTCTAGCACTTTGTATGATGTGAGATAGGCAGTCAAGCACTTTGTATGATGTGAGACAGTCTAGCACTTTGTATGATGTGAGATAGGCAGGAAGTCTAGCACTTTGTATGATGTGAGACAGTCTAGCACTTTGTATGATGTGAGACAGTCAAGTACTTTGTATGATGTAAGATAGGCAGTCTAGCACTTTGTATGATGTGAGATAGGCAGTCAAGTACTTTGTATGATGTGACATAATCAAGCAGTCTAGCACTTTGTATGATGTGAGACAGTCTAGCACTTTGTATGATGTAAGATAGACAAGTACTTTGTATGATGTGAGATAGGCAGTCTAGCACTTTGTATGATGTAAGATAGTCAGTCAAGCACTTTGTATGATGTGAGATAGGCAGGCAGTCTAGCACTTTGTATGATGTGAGACAGTCTAGCACTTTGTATGATGTGACATAATCAAGCAGTCTAGCACTTTGTATGATGTGAGATAGGCAGTCTAGCACTTTGTATGATGTAAGACAGACAAGTACTTTGTATGATGTGAGATAGGCAGTCTAGCACTTTGTATGATGTGACATAATCAGGCAGTCTAGCACTTTGTATGATGTGACATAATCACAATCAGGCAGTCAAGCACTTTGTATGATGTGACATAATCAGGCAGTCAAGCACTTTGTATGATGTGAGACAGTCATGCAGCTTTACTTATTTCAAATTAGTAATGTTTTGGTGTCACCCCTCTCCCTTTTGCCTTTTGGATAGTGTCAGTCTGCTTTTAATGGTGTATGCTATTAACCTATGACCAGTTATTAATGTAATTAGAGAGGAACAAGGTTTAATCAGAATATTTTTCCTTTGATTTCACCTCCTAACCCTGTTCGTCTGTATAATCAGCGCCCCTCCTCCCCGTCTGTAATATTATTGATCTCCTTGGATAAACATGTTATTTAAACTAAGGATACAAGATCTCATCAGGCTGATGTAGTTCTGTATTAGAAGGGTTAATGATTGGTTGATGTTGACATGGACCCACGTCTGAAACCAAACGCTTAAATTTTATTTTTTAGTGCTTTGATAGAAAAAGAATCGCTCAACGCTTTGAGATGCGAACCCACGCCTTACCAATCTGACGAGATCAGTTTAGTGGATCCAGTTCCGTTATTTCTAAATGTTGACAGGTAGTGCAGATGTGTCATAGACTTGTACTTTTTATTAGAAACTTCTTAGCATTAGATTATTGACTTAGTCCTCTTTGTTCCTTATGGAACATAGGGCCTCCACCATTTCCTTCCATTTTATCCGATCCCCGGCTATAAATTCTGCCGTCTCCCAAGACATCCCTGTTGGCTTCAGTTCTTCAAGAAGACTCCGCCTCCAGGTCTGTATTGGGCGCCCTCTCTTCCGCTTTCCCTGGGGGTTCCACTCAAGCGCTTGGCGTGTAACATTTGGGTGAGCCTTTCCTAGTGTGTCCCACCCAGCGCCACTTCCTCCTTCTTATTTGCACAGTTATAGGCTTCGGCATTGCCTTTCTCCATAATTCTATGTTCGGCACTTTGTCCTGCCACCTCAATTTCAAAATCTGTTTAAGGCATATGTTCATGAAGGTCATTAGAGTATTAAAGTTATTAAATTAGCACGACCACCAATTAAAATTTCGCTTTATAAATTATTTATTTTTAAATTACGAAAATCTACTCAGGCACACGAAGTTCGTTAATTGGGACAGCATCACATATGGGATAGAGAAAGTCTATCGTAGATACAAACCTTATATAAAAAGTTTATAATTTTATAATAATTTAATATAATAATTATATAATACTTTTTTTTGTTTCTATACTCGCAGCCTGCCACCTATCAAAGAGTTACCGAGACCGGTGAATGGCTACTCAGAGTATCCCCCTGATGAGGTCGAGCCCTACATTCACGCACATTGGAGTCAAGAGGACTACGATGAAACAGATTCGGACTAGTAACACATCTGACACTAGTAAAATTTACTACATACAACCGATGCGTTTTCATGAGTGATTTTTAGGCTAAAAATAATTCATGATATAAACCTACTCATTTTGATGCGAGATAATTAGGCTCCATTAAAAATAATGTACTGCGTAAACCACACACATTTGAATGTGTGATCTGTAGGTACAACAAATAATTTTCTAGCATACACATTTTGATATGTGATCTTTAGGCTCAGCAAAAACTTCACTTCATAAACCCCACAAATTTTGATGTGAGATCGTTTAGCTCAACAAAAAATTTAGTTCATAAACTAAAAAAAAATATTTGTGGTGTGATTTTTAAGCTCAACAAAAAATGTACCAGATAAACATAATAAAATCTATTGTGATGTGAGATCATTAGGACCAACAAAAAAATTTTGTCGCGTGATTTTCAGGCTCAACAAAAGAATTCACAACATAAATCCACGTTTTTGTTGGTATGGTCTTCCAGTGGCGTAGCTAGGGGAGGGCAGGTGGGGCGGCCGCCACGGGAGCCGATCCTAAGGTTGCGCCAAAATGGGTGAAAAGAGTTTAAACGGTTATTTTAAGCTAGGATATTGAATTATACACAATCAAAATTAATAAAGTAAACTGCTACATGGCTTTACACACTAACTTAACTGTTTCGACATCAAATGTAAGGGCCCTAAGTAAATAACCTTTACGGGACTGTTAAAAGTGCCACCAGCCTTTCCAAATGCGTGGAGTGGGCATTTTAAAACCAGCGTGAAAAACTATGTAGTCTAATATAGGGAGGGAATGGGGGATGTGATAGTTTGACACGGGCTCCTGAATTTTTTTTCCATAACGATGTATGTTTGTTTGGCTACTTACTTCAAGTTCTGTGTGCAGAGATGTTGCTTCTAGTTCACTAAATGGTTTTGTGATATCTTCTTTTTCTTAGTATATATATATATATATATATATATATATATATATATATATATATATATATATATATATATATATATATATATATATATATATATATATATGTTTCATTTTGCCTCGTGAGACAATGAAATTGCGCCACGAGATTATGATGTTATTTGCTTTTAGTGCAGGCTCTGTTGTGGCGGATCATGGAAATCCTAGGATGTTATTGCAGATCATTGTTATATATATATATATATATATATATATATATATATATATATATATATATATATATATATATATATATATATATATATATATATATATATATATATATATATATATATATGTCAACTACTGACAATAAAACACGCATAACTAAAGCCAAGCGAGATTTTTTGCAAAAACAAAACAACTGGCTATCGAAGGAAGAGACCGAATGCAGATCTTTTTTCCAAAATAATGTCCTAACTGTTCTTTTGTTTATCAATAAATGCAGGAAAGCAACCATCTCTTCCATCTACATATTGTATACTTTGTATAGTAAGTAGGCCTACCGGACCGCCTACCGGGCCGCCTACCGGGCCGGCTACCAATGAATGATAAATGGCAACCACCGGCGCTAGACTGTCTTTAATAATATGTATCTAGGAACTAGGAGACTTAGAAATTGAAACTTTCTGAATTAACTGAAGAAAGATGGCGCTGGATGTGCCATGTATTAAGGATGAGACCAGACGAGGTTACAGCAATGGCGTTCGATTGTCCAGCTCTAAGAGGACTATGAAGCTTGAGCAGAAAACTACTGACAAGAGCAGAGAAAGTTGCAAAAGACTGGCTTTCTCTGGTGGCCCCATTTACCCTGGGCATCGACGGTAAAAGACGATGATGATGAATTTAGGCAAGTTACTATACTATGACCATTCTGATAAAAATCATGCAAAAAATAATTTTAAAACATTTTTTTTTCGGTACACCAAAGACCCAAGTTGGTCGTCTTTTTAAATTAAAAAACAAAAATCACCTAAAAAATCACAGAACATTTAAAAACAAACAAGATTTAATTATTTTCTGCTTGCACATGGTTTACTTAAAGCGCAGGAGCCTAAACTAATATATGTTAATTATGACGTAGCGTGCTCACAAATTAATTTCCCTAAATAATTAATCTAGCTTTAACGGCCGTCCACTACCTCACTAATTAATATAGCCGTCCATTACTTCACATTTAGCTATAGATCCCGAGTGTTTTTTTTTAAAATAATGCATTTGAATTTCACATTGGCTTTGAATGTTAAAACGCATTTTATCGCTGCTGATTCTAATCAGAAAGTTATGGGCTATAATTAAACTGACGTTAACTTCCCGTTTGTTTCCTCTAGTCCACGGGTTCCCAACCTGGGGGTCGCGACCCCCCTGGGGGTCGCGAAGGGCTTTCTGGGGGGTCGCCAACTGGTATACTAAACCTTAGTAATTTGAAACAAAACATAAATATTTAGAAGAATTTTTGAAATTCGGCTTTACTAACATCACTGGAAGAAGCAAAGCGTACTGTACAAAATTGTTCTCAGTCACGAGTTTATGAAATCTTCAAAACTAAAACGTCATTTGACACGAGTCATTCGAGACACACCAAAAAAGATATGGAGTTCTTTCGTCGGTATGAAGCTAGTTGCAAACGTCAGAGACTTGATCGAATAGGAAGTTTTCACCCAGGAAACACAGCATTAGTGCAAGCATCACATGAAGTCGCGACAGAAAACGCCAAGCAAAAAAAAAAAAACACAATAGGAGAACATCTCATCAAACGCTGCATGTTGAAGATGGTGAAGTTAATTCTTACATGTCCGTAGATATTAAATAACACATTTTTATTGAAATTAAGCTTTCACCATTATTTGCTTTTCAAGTTGATAAATCAACAGACGCGAGTTCGTGTTCGCAGTTGCTGGTCTTTGTCTATATTTATTCAGATGATAGCAAAGAAGAGTTGCTCTTTTGTGAAGATAGCATGGAGAAAATAAAAACGTTTTTTTTTTTTTTTTAAATTGGATTATTAAAATGGGTTAAAACGGCTGTGAGGGTTTGTACGGATGGTGCACCATCTATGTTTAGGTCAAAATCGGGCTTTCGGAAAGCAGAAAAGATTTAGCTCCCTAACCACTGCCCTCACCAATCGCCATCAAGACTCCATTGCTAGTATAAGTCGTAAATTATATAAAATCTTGAGCCTTCAAAGAACTGAACAAAAACATTAATATAGATCACGAGGTTCTGCTCTTCTACACTACAGTACGCTGGCTGTCAAACGAATTGTTGTGAATCGTGTTTTTGAATTGAAATCTGAAATCAAATTGTTCTTGGAAATGCAAAGGAAACAAGACCGTTTGGTATACTTAAAACGACATAGAGTGGTTGGAGAGAGTATCATACCTAGCAGATGTGTTCGAACAATAACATAAGCATAACCTGAAGCTTCAGGGAAAATGAACGAATATTATCACTTTCCATGATAATCTCGGGGCATTTTTATCAAAGCTGCAAAATCGGCGCAGAAAATAAATCTTGGAAATATTGTAAATTTGAGAAACTCTGCAGTGTGGTAGATGAATCTAATTGTGAGATAATTAAAATTTTGAAAGAATAAATTTCTGGGCATCTTGAATCTATTGAAAACGAACTGCAGCGCTATTTCTCTGAGCTGAAAAAAAAAAGAATCTGCTTTGACGCATTATCCATTCTCTTCTTCACTTGATGTTGCCAGCATTCCCGATGAATTACAAAATGAATTCTTTGATTTGCAAAATGATTCCGAGTAAGATGAAAAACGTCAGACACAATTTTGGTGTAGTATTAACCATTTATATCCAAACGTAAAATTGATTGATTTTTCGAGAATATAATTTTATTTTGAACACTATTTTTCGATTAAAAACACAATTAAGATAATGATAATGACATAGGTTGGCGTTAACAAAAAAATACTTTAAAAAAAATTAACCGCGAATGTTTAGTGAATATTATGCAATTTTACTCATGGTATTAAAACAGTTATCAAGAGTAGTTCATATTGAAATTCTACCAGAAAATCTTATTTTAGTGCTTATTAATTTCTATACTAATTTCGTCTTTTTAATTCTATGGGGGTCGCGGGTTACTTAATTTTTATAAAAGGGGGTCGCCACTCGAAAAAGGTTGGGAACCACTGCTCTAGTCTGTTTCATTATACCATCAACCAGTCAACGAAATGCCCATGTCGTATTCTAATGCGAACAATTATTGTTTCTGATAAGTTGCTATTGTATGTCACTTGTATGTCCTTATTCTAACAAACTTATAATCCAACTATGTACCATATCATAGCAGAGACGTTTCCAAAAATAGAACATATATAGACCAAGCGAATGAGCGCCTGCTTCAAACTTCCCGCTAAACTCAGACGAGGCTTACTTTTTTCTGACAATACTAATCTTTTTTAAAAGGACTACGCATCTTAAGGAAATTTAATGGACGCGAGAAAGGTATTTGAGAGGCCCATTAAATATTTAAAATAATAAACACATAAAAACGTTTATAATTACAAACTTTTATAAATGCACTAAAAAAAGAAAATAATACAATTTTTATTAAATTTATAAATCTGCGGTTACTTTAAATATAAAAAAAAATACTTTCTTTTAATATAGGCCTATTAATGCACGATTATTTATATCACTATAAATAAAAGCGTGGGCCGCTTGTTTAACATCTTATTATTATAGCGGCGGGGGCCACGCTTTTATTTATAGTGATACAACGGTAAAGGCATTTAATGTCTATATAAATTGTACATTTTTCTATTTCATCCGGGAGGGGGGGGGGTGGGGCTAAGGTAGGCGGTTGACGTGCTCCATGCGTGTGTATGTAGGGGGGGGGAGGGAGTAGAGTGCATTGCCACCCCTCCCTACCATCAAAGAGACGCCTGAAATAAAAGCTCTGGGTCAGGGGCGTAGCGAGGGGGGTGCGGTGGGTGCAGACCGCACCGGGTGACACCATTTAGGGGGGTGACACCAAGGCAAAAAAAGCAAAATATATAGAGAAAAACTTGA